ATCGAGTATGCCATTCATGTGTGGCAACCATTATCCAGGGAATGGACTGTGGCAAATCTAACATCCGGAGTTAATTAATGGGACTAGAAATTTTTTTGATTTAAAGTTTATTTTTTATTTCTGATTTTTTTTTAAAGAAAAGCCAGACACTCTATATTGATATATAATGAGATAATTTTTCCCCTTAAACCATTTTTGTAAATAATAAAAAAAATTACTTTTTATTAGTTACTCATTAACTTTACTATTTTTTTGCTCATGTGATATGTGTGTAAAGTTCATATGTAATGATAAGTAAGATTCTGACCTTATCATTTAATACTAATTTGTCTCTAATTTTTTTTAATAGTGTTTGTGCCTTGAAATCTTTTTCCAAGAATACCAAGCATCATAATATCTTGTTAAAATAAAATTTAATAAATATTATTAAAATATTAAATGTTTTAATATTTATTAATTTAAATATCATTATATTAAATATTCATCTAAAATTTATAAATGATTTTTTAAAATTAACGGTTTAAACTTATTTCATATAGTTTTTGATAAACATTCATAATATTAATTTAATAAAAATTTTACTCTTTGATTAAATGACTTAACTAAAACAAAAACAAATTTATTTATGTCTATATCCTATTACTTTTGTTCTTCATATGACCTTGATTCACTTTACTACATTTGATTCATAAACTTGCAGTGTATTTACATTTGTGTGCACCGGTTGATAATGAAGGCATAAGGATAGAACTAAATTAGTCTATTTTATAAAATAATAAGTATTCATATATTATATTGACTTTAAAATATCATCAGCTTTTAGAGAAAAAGTCTATAAATATTTTTGCATCTTATATTTTTTTTATTCAATGAACAAGGACGTAAATCAAATTTAATGGAATAGAAAATTGTTGCATGTCTTATAACAAGTTTATGAATATTCTTAAATCTTTGTTTAAAAATATCAGGTGCTCCTGAATAATTTTTTTTCTTTTGGATAGTTTAACCTTTTAACGCTTTCTTAAAATAGGAATTTATGAAGTATTTTCTTTTATTTTAGTTTGTCTCACGACTCACGTTAAGAATCAATTGGTCTAGCAAACATCAGATATGAGTTTCGAGAACTTTTGAATCTAGAAATTACGTGCATAGTGGCAAAACCCATGTTAGTTAGAATTTTACATGCTCCCTTTATTCAAAAACATAAAATTTTTAACTGAATCTCATTCTCAATAAAGTAATTGTCTATTTTCAAACTAATCATATCTTTTCATATTTATTTCTATTAAATACCCTACAATAAAAATAAAATTATTTATCGATAGGGACACTTTTTTTAAAAAGACAATGATTACACATCAAAAAATTAAAAATGCCTTATTTTTTTAACATTCAACTCCTCAAAAAATATCTTATATTTTTTTTAACGGATGAAGTATTCAATTTTATTGTTCTGTTAAAATACGAAGCAATCTTATTAAAACTCTATGTTCATTTGTTAACAAGTTTATGTGATAAATTAATAAGTAAAATTAAATTTTAAATAGTTTGATTATTTTATATCATAACAAGCTAACAAAATTAAATATATTAATATATTGGTGGCAAGTTTTCCTCATAAAGTAATAATTACGATACATTATTGACAAATTGAGTTAGAACTTCAACAACTTCACCTCACATTTTAACAATTTAACAATTCAACAATTAAATATGTATAATATATTATTGATAAGTTTTCCCAATAAATTAAAAAATACTGATAATGAAATAGCAATTTAAATTAGAGTTTTAACAAGTCCAATTTATATTGCAACAAGTTTCCACAGTGAATAAACATGCAATGCTGAATTAATGAGTAAACATTGATGAAATAACAAATTAACTCATGTTTGGGTTGGAAAATTATATTAATTTATGTTACATACACACATATAAAATTTTGTAATATATAATTAAGAGATATTACAAGTTTAGTGGTCATTAATTTTTTTGTTTTGTGAACCGAAAAGTTGTGTGTTTAAATCCCCTTTTTGCTAACACTGCCATGTTGGTGGTCACGTTAGCAGTAGGACTTACAACATATATAGTGGAAAGTTTTTTATTAATGAAATGCATTTTTGTCATCTTCCATCAAAACATAATTTTACTGCAATGTAATTTCATATTCCATTAATCCTTATTTAAAATTGAACACTTACAGTAGTCCATTACTTAAATTCTTTCCATTATAATTATCAATAAAATAAATATTCCAAAAGGCTAATACAAGCAAGCAAAACTATTTTTCCCTTCCACACATCCATCCATTTTCATCTATAAGCTTTTTTCCGCATCAAATAAATGCCATGCCAAGCCAAGCCACAGTCAAAGATCAAAGTAGAAAACATTAGGCTGTGAGTGGTTTTCTTTTCTCTCTCTTGGGTTTCGCGCTTGGTTTTTATGGCCAACGCAGGCCAACGGAAGGTCCCATCGGGCCGACCACTGGCAGAAGGACAAGACGATCGGAAGAAAAAGAAGAGAATTGAAGAGACCCCACAAGCTATTATAGATGATTAGATAGATGAGAAACACGAAAAAAAAAAAAAAAAAATAGAAGAAGAAAGTTGCGAGACACCCCACGGTGAATGAGAAAAACAAGTGGTGACAAAGAAGAGAGCACCAAAGCTCCCTATCATATCGTGATTCTCTTCTTGGATTTAACGGCGTGGCAAATGGTGGTACAGGAGGAAGACGATCTTTTCAAAAATGATGAAGATATCTATTGGAAGCTTCTTGAGCCATATGAAAGACGTCAAGAAAAAGATGGAAATCTATCGGGTCGTTCCACTCACAGAGGAGGAGTACAAGTTTATACAATGAGTGGTGCCAGCCACGGAATTATGCTCTGTTTCTTACTATGCTTGGAAAGCGTTTTCATGTTTATCGCCTCGCCTCGCATGAAAGACAACCTAACAACAACTTGAAATTTGAACTTATTGATCTACCTAACAACAACTTTATTGTTTGGTTTCAGAATAAGAAATGTTGGAAATTCCACTACAAAAATAATCCAGGCTCCTAGAAGACAAGAGCCTAATCTAGGCTCCTCTTGCTTTTGTCTTTTTCCTTCTCTTTAGAAGGTCAAAGCTTTTTTTTTTGTTGATATAATTAAAATAGGAAAACTAGTCCCAAAAACTAATTAAAATAAGGAGGGATTGACACCCCATAATATCTGAAAACAATAAGGCCTCCAAGTATGCTGGGGCACAATCTAAAGACTGAAAATCACATTTCATACCAAGGCATTCCTTGGCAATTCTATTGGCTACTCTATTAATTTCTCTTGGGACATGTTGAAATTTTAGTTGCCAATTCCTTTCTTGGAAGCTTTTGATTCTTGCTAATACTGAACTAGCAGTTTTCCCTTTACTCTCAATGTGATTGAGAGTATCTAATGCTGATTTTGAATCTGTTTCAAGAATCACAAACTTAAAACCCAAACTTCACGCTGTTTCAAACTTTCAATTCTTCTCAAAATGGCCCATTTCTCAACTTCACTAGGTGTACAGATACCTAGAAATTGGTGAAATCTGGCTCCCCATGTTGCGCATTTGTCTCATTACCCCTCCGCAAGTTGCATCTCCGGAGCTTTGCATCACTGCCCCATCAACATTAATTTTTATCCATTGTCTGTTGGAGGTTCCCACTTACAATTAATTCTGTCCACACACCTACTGTCAACTACATTCCTTGGATCCACTCTATGAATATAATTATTAACAATCAAGGAGGTAACAAAATTCGGGTCACGTGGCTCATCAAAATTAGTACAGTGCACAAATTGATTTCTCAAGGGCCGAAGTTTCCACAATGCAGCACCCCACCACAAATCTCATGAAGTAACCAATGAAAGCTTAATAATCTCACCAGCAAGACATGAGACCAATTAGAAGGTCAAAGTTGAATGAGGAGTTGGGTTTTCTGCCGAACGTGAACTAAGCCTTTTTTTTTGGGGGGGGGGGTATAATTAAGCCATTTTGAATCATAGTGCGAAGGCCCACTCATGATAAGGGCGTGGTTCAAAGTTCCTGTTGCAGTATTTAAATAAATTACATTTAGCATGTATGATGAGGATCTTGTTAGTGAAAAATTTGTAAGTATATTTATAAGTATTCTTTATTTGATCTTAAAAACATGCTTTGCTGAGCTTCTAAAACCAACTCGTCTAAATTTTTTTATAAAAAATTAAGAAAAAATATAACTTTGAGTCCCTACATTTTATTCATATTTATTATAGATTCTTATACTTTTTCTTTTGTTTTAGATATTTACACTTTTATTTTTTTGATATTTTAAGTCTCTCCAAAATATCAAAAACTAAAAGTGTAGGAATTTAAAATATCAAAAAAAGTATAGAAACTTATAACAAAACACAAGTAAAGTTATGTTTTCTTACAAATTAACAAATTAAATCAAAGTTGAAATATTTTAGAAACAAAGGATATGTTGATATTAAATTTCTTTAACTTTTGTTAATCTATTTTATAACATGCTTTGGAAAATTTAAAAAGTATTAGATGATTTTGTTAATTTTTCTTCATTTTTCTTGAAAACAAACTAACTATTTTTTTAATAAAAAGATGAAAGATAATTAAGGTGAAGGTAGGAGAGATGATTCAGAGATGGGAATGAATTAATGAAACCATTCAATTTTTAAATTAAGGTATAGACGAGATCAAAACTATTAACTTGAACAAATTTTCTTAATATGTGTAAAATAATGAAAAGTGAATAAAATAAATTTTACTCAGCCAAATTGGCTGCCAGAGTTATGGGTCAACCTCGTCTTGTTATTACTTCAACAAAGCTAGTAATTCCAGTCAGGTTGCGGGTTGTGGCCCTAACACTATGGGTTACCCATATCTTTGCCAGTTGCGTTTTTTTCCAACATGGGCCAGCAGAGGCTGGTTGGAGGGCTTACCCACCTTGCCAGTGAAACTTAATTTTTTTTTTACCGATTTTAATTTTAAAAATAACAAACTTACTTCTTTTCATTATTTTTTTGGCCGTAAATAAAATCATATTTCTCCCCTAAAAACTGATTATCCAAATAACAAAACAACTCCTTCTAAATCGTTGAAAGACACGTTACAAATTTAAAATACATTAAAATAATCCAAAATAAATAACTATTCCATCACAAACAAACATAATAAAAGATTTAAATTACAGTCTAACCATATTTTTTCAAAGATTTCTCAGAATGTTTGAAGCATTATCAAAAACTGCAATAACATTAAATTAATGGACTTCTCCAAAGCTTCATTTGTCACAAACAAAAAATAAAACATAACTAACATGTAGAAGCTTGGAAGTTAAATAAGAAAATATAACTATTATACTATCAAGCTATGAAAAATCAAGAATCTAATTTCAAGTAAAAATAAGAATTTCAACATTATTTGGTAAAAGGTTATTTCAATATTTTGTGAGAACTCTTAATCTAATATAAAGAGCAGATTCACTGACCATTTTAGTGATTAGGATGTTAAAAATATTACATGCCCTCTTGAAAGTTGAGGTCTTGAGGAGAAGGGCTTTGGATATGCTTTGGTAAAGTAGCTTTATAGCTTAGAATATCTTTTTCAAGAAATTAATAAATTAAGTAGGCTAACCTACAAGTTAGCCCGAAACATTCTTGAGTTAGATGGTATGGGCCACAACAAATTTGCATTTAAAAATATCTGTTTCCTCCAACTTAACCTGTATTTGTTTGTAGATAGTTAAGCTCAACCTATATTATCAACTCATACTTTTAGTTTAAGGGGTTCAATGAATGAAATTTTGTCTATTCAACTAAGTACAAGATAACTGGGGATGGGTGGAGAACTGAGGACAATATGGACTTATTGAGAAGCAGATTGAGACTGCCACCATTGAAGCTTATCTCATCTTCAGGATAGCTGAGGAGTTATTGAAATGTTAATTAATGTCTGCCTCGTATATATACTTGGATTTTTGTATAGTTTGGTTCATGTTCTAGGCGTTCTTGATCTTCGTCCATGATAAATGAAGAATTGGCTTGTGTTTAGGTGGTTATTGGATTGAGTTTTTAGGTAAACTTCGAATAAAATTGTAGATTCGATATCGGAAATGGTAATTAGTCTCCCCCACACTTATTTTATTATATTTTACCCTTAAGTGTTAACGGTTAAGCATCCGTTTATAATCATGCTTACAAATTAATCCATATACATTCTCATATATTAAGCTTTTAAAGGAGATTTTGATATTAACTTTGGAATCACTAGCTCTTAATATACTACTCGTTTGCTTATTTACTCCTTAATTTACTTTTTCATGTCTTTGAACACACCTTCTCTCTCTACTGATTGTAAGCATAAATTGAATTTTGCTGTATGTATTAACGTTAAGGAGGGGAATTTTCATTATACCGAATGTTATATAATGCTATGTTTATATAAATATGAATCTATTTGACCACTTAAAAATATGCTCACTTTGGTTCAAAATATAAAACATTATTAATTATAATTTAAATACCAATAAAATTCAGTTATATCCTTATTTTCAGTTAAAAAATATCATAAAATTTTTCTTATCCTTTTCTTCAACTGGCAATAATAAATTAAAAGAAAGAGATAATATTTTTTAATGAAGTATTATAACATGAAAAAGCATGATTCTTTTGGTAGATCAATAAGTTTTAGCTATTATAAAGAGTGAGAAAAATATAATAATTAATATTATATAACAAACCAAGTTAGTAAATACAATGGTAAAATAAAAAAAAATTATTTTCAAAACTTACCAAATATCTTAAATTTTAAATTAAAATGAGTTTTAAAAAAATATCTTTTAATTTAAATGAGAAAAAGTATATATTTAGATTTCAGCCAAATTAAAATTCTATCTAAGCTCTTTCCAAATTTGAAATACTTTCTATGACCTTGTTATTTCAAGTTTTTATAGGCCTCTCGTCTCTCAACGTCGTTCCCCTATTTGCTAGTCTCGTTCAGGTGACTTCAATCTTTTGCTTTCCTCATCTTTCAAAGCTTCTCTTCAACCTCACCCACTTTGTTTCTTCTACCTTCACATCATCGCTCCCCTCTTCAGTCTCTTCTTCCTTTCCTCTTCTTTTAGTTTTTCTCCCTTCCTAACTTCGCTTCGCTCACATCAGTTTCATCTATTCCCCAAGTATGTTTTTGGACTGAGTAAATCTATCTCTAATGGGTGAACTGGTTATAGGATTTATATTGTATTTGAGATTTCTGCCTTAGTTGTTTTGCTGTTTAATCTGATTGATCCCTTTCAATATTGGGAGAACGAGCTTTCTGGTAATATTCTTGTTAATTTCACGCAAGCCAATTTTTACACGAAAATTCCTGGAATCAAAATCAAAGGCTTAATATATTATTTTTTGTTGCATGCATGAATTAGTGCCATGCCCTCCACTCCTTTCTTATGTCTATGACTTGAACAGAATTGGGAACTAAGTACTTTTTTTCATCAAATAGGTACAGAGTTTGCTCAGTTACCATGTCGGCTTTTTTTCTTTTCTTTTCTTTTTTCCCGGCTTAGAATGCTCGCATGCTTTTGCCCAGATGCATGTGAAAGAAGGCACCATCAGTAATCTTCATTTAAACTGATGTGGAAAGGTTTGAACAAGTTTGTGGTGTTGTTATGGGTTGGTTTTAATTTGCCCCTGTTGATCAGCTGAGAAGAGAGAATCTTCAGATTATGTTGCGTTTTGTTGTTAACTCTCTGATTTTTCTTTTCTAGTTTTGGATATTAAGATAAATATCCAGGTTAGCTGTATATGTTTATTTGCATTCTTAATTTGTGAGGAGTGAGATAATTTGGCTTTTTAAATTTAGTCAATGTTGTGATGATGCCTGCAGTTCTGTGTATGCTTTTTATGCAGTTTTTTATACATTGAGATTTCAATGGAGGCTCCAAAGGTGGGAGTAAATTGCGAAGAGAGTGTTGGAAGAAGTGGGCCCCCCCCAATAGGAAGAATCAAACTGAAACGCCTCAAAATTGGAAGAATTACAATTTCTTTTGCAGAAGAATCAGTTTTAATTTAGTCCAATATCGTTCGAGCATTTTGAGATTTCCTCTGTATATTTCGCAAGTGCTTGTGGAATTCAAAGTTTTGATTGAATCTTAGCTGTTAGCAATTTTCTTGAAATGAACTGGAGTAGATACTGTTTATCATGTATTGTTATTCTTAAAAAGAACTTTTCTTTTGCACTTGAACGCTCAAACCATTGGAATGGTTTATCATGTATAGTTAGTCTTTTTAAGATCCATTTAGTGCATGAATGGGTATTTACAAAGTTGCCTTTGGTGCTAGGACTGAGTTGCATAGGAGATGTGGATAGCATACTCGTCGTTTTAAAATGCCTCCTTTTTGTTTAGCTTGTGCTTGATCAAAACCCAGATTAATTGATTATCTTGTGAAATGGGATTAGTCTTTCAGATAATCCAAGTCTAATTAATAAGCATTTATGTGACTGTTGCTTTTATGTCGTTGGTTGTAATTAATGGTGCATTTATACCCATTCTTTGATGTTGTTTGGCAGGTTGAAATTGTCTCTCATCAGGCTTGGTTCTTGGTACATGATAGCAATAAGATTATGATTTTTGGTTCAAGTGCTGATTTTAGATTTTGAAAGGTAGGTCATTTTAGATTTTGAAAGGTAGGTCCTATTGTTTTAGTCTGTTAACTTGAGATATTTTGTAGTTACATTTAGGGAAAAATGGATACCAATCGACGAGGAGAAAGTGTGCAAGAGATGAAAATAGCATGACTGAGAATACTTTGTTTTAATACTTGAGATAATTTTAATAATATTCTTAATTTTTTGTTTTATTGTTGAATGACAAATTGCTTAGAGTATCTGTCCATATCTTGGGTCTAATGTTGTTGTAAATGTTGGAGATATACTCAGTAGGAAGAATCAGATTGTATATGATATCATATATCCTGTAGATATTATATTGATATATATGTGCGCGCGCGCTTGTGTTTTTGCTATGCTAAGAGAATAGAAAGCATCGAAGCAGTTATTCCCAAATATTTCTCTTTTTCTTTTTGACATAAATCAATTCCATAATTATCATTTTAGATTAAATTTTTAGTTTTTTTTATTGATCAAATTTTCTAAAAAATGATTCGGATAATATGGTTGAAGCATAAATTTTGGTTGATAATTTAAATACAAAACAATAAAAATAAAATTTGATTATAGTGATTTGAAATATTTTAAACAATCTAAACAAAAATTTTAATACTAAAATGTAAATTTTTTAAATTATCCAAATAAAATATTTTAAATATAGTATATAGATTTCATGATATTTTAAATTCAAAATTTACAAATTCAAACACTACCTAAAAAATTTTAATTGGATGAAGAGCCAATAAATATAGTTTATCTATTGATATATTTTATATAGAGAATGACAATTACGTACTAAAACTTTTAATTAATAATAGTTAAATTTTTGATAAAATTTTTAAAAATATGAGTTATAAATATCGACTCAAACAATAACAAATAGAATGTTTTATTGTAATTCAAAAGTTATATTTGATACTTAAATATTATAATTATTTGAATTGATATTTTTAACTTATTTTTTAAAATTTTTTTGAGGATTTAGTTCTTACTAATTAAAAGTTTTGAGGCTTAACTGTAATTCTCTCTACTTTATATTTGAAGGATTGTGTGTGTGTTCTTATATAATAAAAAGAAAGGAGCATAATACAAAACACATTATTCTAACACTGTATAAATAATGTAGATTGTAGAATATTCAACTTGTCATCTTTTAAGTTCATAACGGCAAAAAAAAAAAAAAAATTCAATAGTTGTCACCTGTTCTCCAATTAAACATCAATAAGATAACATAATCAATCATATGATGACAAGTTACATAAAGCAACTAGCTCTTGGACAATTTTCTTTTGAAAAACAATTAAAAACTATAATAATAACAACAAAAACTATTACCTAAAAGGCTAAGAGCACAAAGAACAGTAAATACTGTAATTTACATTCAACCGCAACATATTATCCAAGGCAATAGTTTTCTCATCTCACAAACTGTTTTTTATTCAAGAATGACACATTACCGGCAGAGTTGCCACCACCGACTTCATCTGCAATGCCTGGCTAGAGATAATAGACGATCCTCTTGTCCATTATATTTTAGAGCTTAAAGGATCGCTTTTGGACAAACTCACTCACAAAGGAGTCCAACATTTCAAGCGTCACGTGCTGCATCGCCACAACATGTGCCATGCTTCCTTTGCAAGCCAGACTCCATCTGCGAGCAAATTCTTCATCTTGAGGCTTCTCAAACACCACGATATTGCTAAACTCATTCTTCATTGCACTGATTCCTGCGTTTTGTAGCTTGTCTAGCAAGTAATCTGCATTTCTCATGCACTTGTCGACTTCCTCCTTGAGGCCCAACAAACCTTTCTTCTTGAGAGCGTACCAGAGGAAGATCGCAGCATGGCCGCTCCGGCTTCCTGTGATTGTGGCATCCCTTGAGGCTATGATCTCAACATCACTAGACATGTTGCCTTTGATGTATTCCAAACGAGTTATTATAACCCCACAAGGCACAGGACATCCTAGAAACTTGTGCCCCGAAATTGCTATGCTTCCTATGGGTTTCTTGAAACTCAACCTCGGTGCCTGTAGACCCATCATTATCCCTAGTTAGGAATATTTCACAAACACAAAAAGGATTTTAGATAGACCTGATCACTAGTTAGGCTTCGTTTTGTCTTAAATACATTAATATCACTTCCAAATTTGAAAATTAATGTTTATGATAGGAAGTGACAAAAAGTGAGAAAGTTTATGGAGTCTATTTCCCTTTTTTAAACTTTCCATCTTTTCTTCACTTCATTGATCCAACCATTTTTTGATACCAAAACCGGACTCGGAATTTAAATACTTTGAATCTCAAGACAGTAACTAATTAGAGTTAATTCTGATATTGAAATGTGACTCACTTGTTTAATGAAAGGAAGCATTAGTCCAAATAGAGCTCCATCACAATGGATATAGAACCGATCACGAGTAAATCCATATTCTTCAAGTGTTTGCACCACAAGATCAATATCATCAATAGCTCCATTCATAGTTGTTCCTAAAAAGAGAAAATCATCCTTTGAGATCAGTACTTCACAAGTCATTATTCAATATATGTGTGTGTAAAACTCTCTTGTTGAGGCTATGTGTGCACAAGAAGATTGAATGACATTTAAGAGATCGATTGACCAAATTACAATAATAATTAAAACATGTAACAGGCCAACTGACATGTTTGTTTTATAATCATTAGGTCTGTGAGAGAGAAAGAGAGAAGAGCAAAGATACCTATATTTATGTTGATAATGGCAGGCTTGTCCTTGTGGGCAAGAAGTGAAGCCTTGAGATCTGAACAATCAATCTCACCAGATCTCAGTGTTGCAACCTTCACGCACTGCATTCTGCATATTCTTGCTATTTTGAACGCTGAATAATGCGATTCTTCTGAGGCATATAGAATCCCATCTGGCAATTGTTCCCTCCTATATATACTTATAATGTTATATAATCAAATGATGACTAAATAAAACATACATCAGAGCTTACTGATCATTACCCTACTAAAATCCCATGAAGATTGCCTTCAGTTCCTCCGGTGGTGACGTATCCCCAGCACTGGTTCTTGGCAATCTCCCACAAGCTAGCGAACCAGTCAAGAACAGAAACTTCAAACGCTGCTGAATTCAGAGTGTAGCAGCTTCCCAGAAATGGATCGCCAGCATTATTTATGTGAAAATGAAGCAACGGTGCCAATGCTTCATAGTCAAACTCAAGATTTGTGGGGTAGCCTGCTCGATCAGTTAATTAACACAACAGAAATAGGATTTGTGGAAATGCAGTATAAGTTTTCGAGGTGTTGTGAAGTAGTATGTTCTGCGTGACACAACATAATATATTCAATAAGCGAAAAGATGATGAAAAATGTCATTACCCAGAAAGCGCATTTTGCTGAGCGACAGGGCCTGGGCAAAGATAGTAATGATTTGAAGCAAGTGTTGTTCAGAGTCTCCAGCGAGATCTGACATGGCCAAGCTCATCATATTTTGATAATCTGGGCTTTCTATTTCAGAAAGTTCTTCTCTGAGAGGCGCCAGCTGGAGAGGCATCAGTGATGATGTGAAGCAAGTGTTGTTTCAGTGCCTTGATTAAGAGATCTGAGACAGTGTGTGTTGGAACTTGAGAAAACCATGAAGGGTTTGTATGGAGAGTGGGAGACGTAGCCTATATATAATAGTCAGGCTGAGTTTGATGCACAATTATGTCGTGCGATTGATCATTCACCACTGATTTTAAAAATTTAAATTGTTAATTTTTAACCTGTAAATTTTGTACAAAAAGATTTATAGCCAAAATACAATTATAAGATTATCTTATTTTTTTTAAAAAAATTATATATATATATTTATTAAAATAATAATTTATTAAAAATGTAAAAATAAAATTATATCAAATCTAGACAGTCAAATTTGTGTTCATTTGTGAGCACCGAAATTGGATCCCTTTATCCACGGTTCAATTATTTAAACTACTAGTGTGTGTGTGTGTATATATATATATATAAAACCAATTTGAGCCCCTAATATAATTAACGAGCCGTTTATACAAATATATCCGAATTGGTAATGTTTGTGGTTAAACAATAAATATTAGGCGTGTCAGAGACGTTGAATTTTAATAGATAGTGAAAAGGGTCTCGAGTTCTCTTGCCATGATTCATTTGGATGTAAAAAGATAGAAGGCTTTGATAAAACAAGTGTATAATTTTATTGAAGTGTAGAAAATTACAAACTAAAAACTAAGAACTGAAAATGACTAATGAATGTAAAATATGTGAGTATTGATTGAGTGTTAATTAGATTTTTCTGTTTTTCTTTTTTCTATTTATAGTGTCGAATAGCAGAAGCCTTTCCTTTGAGACTTAGCATGTTCTATCGAAAAATCAGGAATCCCGCAAAACTCATGGCACGGTCTCTCCATTTTGATAACCAGCCCGTTTCACCGAACTACTTGGACATAAATTTCGACATTACTTAGGATCGTGTCTTCATGCCAACGGTATGATATTTGAAGCTGACAGGATTTTGACATATTTATTTATTATGGACTTTATTGAGTTTCGGGGTCGGCCTCTTTTGTTTATATTGGGCTTGACGCTTTGACTACTCAGCTCAACTTGTTTCGTAACCTATTTGAATGATGTTTCATATTCAATCCAGACAGATAGATTTTCATTTGTATGAAAATGATACTTTATCCACCACATGCACATAGACGTATTGTATAAAGCAGCAACCAAGTTACTTGTTATAATTGAATTGAATGGCGGCTACTGGGGTAGACTGTGAATTAGCAAGGTGCTTGAATCTTGGCCTCCTACCTTCAACTTGTTTTACTTGCTACTCATGAATCATGATTCGTGATTCGTGATTCGTGATTCGTGATTCTGATTCAGGGACGGATGGGAGCTGGCGTCCAATGTTCAAGAGCTAGTTGCGCACACGCGTTTCTAATGCAAAATTTTTAATATTTATTATAATTCATACTTCAAAATAATTTTATAACTAGCTAAGGATATCAATATTATTATTACATGAGCATATATAACATTTGGTATATGTGAAAATGAAAAAGGAATATTTGTTCTATTGATATTTAGTAATACAAGATTTCGAAAATAAATAAAGTTAAAAAAAAAACTAAAATGTCTTTCAAGGAAAATAAAGTACAATAAGATAAGTTCATAAACTATTGGCATGTATAGTTTTAAAACTTCATAGAATGAGTACTTTTTTCCCAATGATAGTAACATTTCCTTGAAATTATAATTTCATGGATTTTGACTTTTTTATGAATAATAGAGAATGCCATTCATGTGAACCAACCCTGCACATTTAAAATATTATCTATATCAATAGAATATATATTTTTAAGTTTTCAAAAACTAAATTAGCCGGTTCAACCAATTGAATTGAGAATCGGCCAAACCAAAATCAGTCAAAAATCAATAAAGTCAGTCAACAACCAGCTAATTCAATAAAATTGAACCGGCTTTGATTTGCAAAAATTGGACAACAAATTTAATTTTCTGAAAGAAGAAAAATCAATTATTAAACTATTAAAAACTTTTGGGCTTTTGCTATTTTACTGAAAACAACCTTGTCCCTTATGCTCACCGTTCCCTCCCCCCCACCATTTTTATACGAAAGTGTTGCATCCCAATTTTTTTTTTTAATTACAAGAGAAAACACAACAAACTAGCGTGCAAATTGGTTAGTTCTAAAAACAAGATATTCTCTCATCATTCACTACCTGACTACAACAAAGAAGTGGTTGATCAAAGATATACCAATCATCTAACCTAAGATTAGCATTCCTACCAAGAATTAGCCTTTCTAAATGTAAAGTCAATCGTAACATGCCACTCCCTAATCTCTATGGAAGAGTGACCCGGCCTATTCAGTGATGTCTTTGAACAAATGTTAATCCACGTTATTTTGGTATATTAAGACAATTCGTACAAACTTTGACTCTATATAAACCTCTAACCCAACAAAGATTTAACCTATAAATCATGCCAAACAGATCCAATATAAGCATTAAAATTAAAGTATTAAAAATTAGATTGAACTTTGAATCAACAAAAATTAAGGGTTAGGATTTAAGAGTTAAGAGTTCAATCGAGGCCGAATTGGGATTAAACCGGCCATAATTAAAATATTATATTTTTTTATTATATAGTAAATAATAAATGTTTGATAAAAATAATGCATCTTGTACATATAGAAAATGTGTGAATTTGTTGAGATTTTGAATTTTCTTTATCTTGCTCGACGCTATTTTAATATATATATATATATATATATATTATCTTCCCTATGTATGTCAGATTTGGCATACATCCATCACCCCACCACTCTTAACTTTCTCGCACGCTTTTTCGTTTTCTTCATTTCTTTCCTCCTCTTCTTTCTTTGTCTTCTTAATAGAGACCCACGAAATGCCAAAAAGGCTGAAGCTCAAAGATATATAATAGATGAGAATGTTGTCGGGAACACTGAGACGGACGAGATTTCTGATTTTTTAATTTTTTAAATTTTTTGATTAGTCATTTTGGGGTTAGAAAATGTAAAACATCTAACAGCATGACTCGTGGGTTAGGTAGTTTAATCCATGTCGACCAATTGATGCCATAAAAAAAAATTGCAAAACTGGACCAACACTTGGCCAAGTTGTCGGTTTACTAATTCAATTGGCCAGTCTGGTTTGATCTTAAAAATCATAGTGAACCTATTCCATCTTGAATTGACCCATAACATCTAAATGGACTTCTCCCTCCCTAGGATGAGTCAATTCCTTTTGGTGTCCTCTGTATTGTTTACTCAAGCTAGGAGATGAATATATCATACTAATATCAAATTTAACTTTGCGAAGTGTAGAAAGAACCGATCCAGTCTTATCAATTTCCTCGCTCCCAAACAGATTCTTACATCCCGCACACCAAACATCACAGCAAATGTAGCCAAAAAGGGTAGCCCAAGGTACCTGTCTTGTAAAAGCTTTGCGACCCTCTTCTTAAGGTTCCATGCAATCCATTCCTCCAATGTCAGGTTCCCACATCCTATTTATTTGTTGCCCCCAAGAGGACAAACATACGTGTTCAGCAATCCTCTCTTTGCTCTTGGCTCCGCTGCGTGCACCTTGTTGGCAATCAGCCACAGAAATACTTTGATCTTTTCTGATCCCTTTCATCTCCAAACATTGCTCTAATTGGACCAAAAACCGGTCAAACTAAAAGTAGTCATAAATCATTAAAACCAATCAACAACCATCTAAACGGATAAAACCAAGCCAATTTTGATTCACAAAAACTGGACAAAAATTAAAATTAAAAAAGAAAGAGAAAAATCAATTATTAAAGTTAAAATATTAAAAAGTTTTAGCACGAGAGTATTCTTTACTGAAAGCAACCCGGCCCCATAAGCCATTTTTATATTAAAATGCCGCATCCCAATATTTCGAATTCACGATGCGGGGCTCTTTTTATTTTTTGGCCACACAATGTGCGGCTTTTTAGGCTCATGCTTCACATTCCTCTTGTATATTTGGTTGCTTCCCCCCCCCCCCGCCCTATTTTTCCTCAACTTTATTAAATTATTTTTCTTAAATCTTGCATCATTTTTATAATATAAACTAGCAATTTAAAAATCAAATCAGATCGAACAGTTAGACCAATCCAATCATTGATCAGTCCATATTTTAATTCAGTCAATATATGAAAACCGTTTTTAAGGTTGAGTCGGGTTGGGCCATTTTGGACTGACAGTCAAATCGGGAACCGAATTCAGTTTTCAAAAATCAAATTGTTTAAATTTTTTTATTAGATTTTTTTTAAGGAATGACCAATTTTTTTGATCATTTGATGTTATATTATATCATATGACTTGTTAAGTCATGATAAACTTAAAATATTTAATTTTTAAAATTAAATAGTAATTTCATATTTGTTTCTTATATTTAGATTATTATATGCATATATAATTTTTTAATTTAATTATTTGATCACTATTTTGATCATTGGTTTAACCGAGTTAAACCATGCGAACCGTGAACTATCGACCTTTTCAGTTTAATATCCGGTTCGATTTTGAAAACAATGATGTGAACTTATATATATATATATATATATATTTAATATTTATATACCAAGTTTTTTATTTCACAATTTATAATTTAAATTAGTATTAATAAATCTTCTAAAAACGTCTTGTGCTTTTTCATTTTTTATACATAATAAGTGTGTTCTCTTAAAAATAAATAAGGTTTGAATACTGTTAAACACTTAGATGAGTTTACTAAATTAAATAGAAAATATCGTCTCACTCTTTTATCTTTTTTATTTCTTCATTAAGCCTAGTAATATTTTGTAAACTTTCATTTTGAATATAAACTCCATCTAAAATAAATATATATATTGAATTAATTATAATCAATTCAACTATGGTTCAATTATCAACCCTTAAACCAGTGTCTTGTCTAG